GTACTTGTGTGCTTGCGTTCCTTGGAGGCATCTCGTTCATATCCAAACTGTAATCTTCATATTCGATAAACACCCATTTTTAGGACTTTGTTTCAAGAGGTTTGTTCCTTACAAAATCGTCCGATCCTCTTTTAATTATTAGCAAGTAACCAAGCAAAACAATTTCGTATTTTTGTACCAATCTTTTTTAGTGGATGAACTCTAATGACATGTCTAAAGATCTTGAAAAAATGAAGTCGGAATCACATCATATAATGTCATCCATGTTTTGTTCACTGACTTACAAATGACTTACAAACTCAAAAAAGGAAAGTATTTATTAGAAGAAATGAGTAGTCCAAGAACAAGGCAACTCAATTCAAGAAAATTCGATCCTAATTGAGAAGATATTGATTGAGTTTGTCAAATTAGAGAATATGGTGACTATGACCACTCAACGTGTATAATTTGTCGATGCTCATGAGTTAAAATACTTTTAAATAGTACCACAATGCAGCAGAATTTGTACTGTGCAAGTTAATAAAACTTGCATCTTTGTATTTTATTGAATAATTGATTAGTCATATATAAATATAGTCGAGTGACATGGCACACTACAACATGTGATGAAAAATAATGATTAATTACAAAATGAATTGCATTATCTATTGTAGTATGTCACGTCACAAGTGTTTAGCATATATATTAGGAGTATTAAATGTGGATCAAAATAATGATCCATGACATAAATATCATATCTAGAATTCAATAAGTCAATATAATTCTTATATATACATCTAGTATAAAAAATGATTTATGACATAGGTTTATACTCGGAATTCACCTAACTCATATATGTTTGTGTCGTATTAGAGGTCACGTCGCCCACCTTTTCACCAGTCCCCGCGGTTGTGACAAAATTAGAGAGAAGAATGGTTACTCGTACAAACTATTGAAGAATCCTCGAAACTAAGAGGGGCTTTTCTTCCCCCTTGTTTCTCAATATCCAGGAAGAGGGATGGGAGAAATGTGAAGTTTTGGTGGCAGGAACGCAAGGGCAGTGGTAGGACTGGTGCAAGGCAGCAGCAACCACACTACCCTACAATGCACATGAACAAATTGAATTTGAATTGTTGAGAATAGGATTATCCCAGAGAGAACAAACGCATATAATGAATGGTTGATAAGCCATCCAAAAATAGGAAAAAGAAATAAAAGGGAATATACATTTTCAGAAGATGTTCAAAAGCAGCAATCAGATGAGAGAACCAAGAAACGCAGAAAGGGACTTGATAGCGACAGATTTACAACCGATAAAGAAATTATGAATGTATTAATAGAAGTCCAAGTCGATTCTGCCCCTAAAGCACTGTTCAAGATGGTCACACAAACGATTCTATGACCTCTATATACTAAAGGGTAAAAAGGAAATGTTTTATTTTCGGTAAATAAAGTTAATAGCAAAAAATTGAAAATTGTACACACTTCGGCTTAAGAAAAGCTAAGGACCAATAATTTCCAACATAATGAACTAATGGATGATTGTGCAAACGAAGCATATACTCAAAAGACAGAGTAAACAACAAATGATTCATCAGTTGGCAAGAAAGAATTTAAAAAAAAACCTCATAAAATCGAATCAAATGGTGCAACAAATTTATGATTTTGCACCAAAATCAGTTTCTACTTCACACCCATAATAAACAAGATTCAAACAGTTTTATAAAAAGAGAAAAAAAGAAAGCACGGGACGGGACGGGACGGGACGGGACAAGACAGAACATAAATGTAGCACACATGAACCTATTAATGATAAAGTAGTCTCTGAATAGTCGAGAACAAAACCATCTACATTCCAGTCTCCTATATGGATAATCCCGGAAAAGATGGCCCATGATCCTCCCATACTTTAGTAGACTTATATCATGTTTATCTCATTTGAAAATAAAAGGCAGCAAGCAATCCCTAAGATAGCAATCCCTAAAGGTAGAGGGAAGCTACTTAGGACCAATATCCTTGAGGGCACAGATCTGCTCCTCTCCCATGGCAGACATGACACTAACAACGAGGTCCTTCCCATCAGCAAATCCATCCTTGATCTGTATGCAGATCACAAAAATTAGGGAAGAAATCCCAATAGGCTAGAAAAGTAACGAAGAACAAAGAGATTTCCTTTGCCCAGCCAACGACAAGATTATATTCGACAAACCTGAGTAAGCAGACTTTCATCGGTTGGAAGCCTCAGGTCATCCTTAGTGTTACCATTATCAGTCAGCAAGCTCACCTACACCATTTTCAAAAGCACTATTAGATAATGTGATTAATCGCAACACTGTCGGACAAAAAGAAATCAAGCACATACAAATCCATCTTCAGATATGTCAATGAGCTGGTAATCAACACGGTTAACATGAGGGACCTGTAGTTCAAATATCTCANTATATATATAGTTGAAAAAAAAATAGTATCCATACATCACAATTGTGTGAAGACGGCACAATATCTTCAAGCTTCTTTCCATTAAAGATGTCAATTGCAACAAAGTGACACTTAGCATGACCATGCTTCCCAGTCTTGGAAGTTGAAACTTCTACAACCTGGAATCAAACGATCAATTCCACTACTATGACCAATAAGAAGTATCACAGGACCTGATGCTGCTCAACAAAGCTGCTTTGAATGACAAAATTGTGTATCTAGACGGTAAATTGTAAATTAATTTATATTTCACTCTCTAAAATAAAAGAACGTCCCAATTCCGAGAAATCACCTTCAAATTGAATAAAATAGTAACAGGCAGATCTAAAATTTCCAAAATTCAAGTAAAATTTCACAAAAAATAATGATCAATTTACATAAACAAACAAAAGATCAAAAAATTGAATTTTTAAAAACAAAATACCATAAATAATCAGATAATTTTTAAAATTAGCATAAAAACTTCAACCATAATTAGCTGGAAAATACACAAAGAAATCAAATTTAACTCCATCATAATTACAAACTATACGGCTATACCTGAAACAAAGATCTAGAGGTAGAACAAAAAAAACCCTAGAAACGCATATATGCTCCAGTATACATCCACACACACAAAAACAAAACAAAACAAAATTAGCGAGGTTATCAAAAGTGATAACATTAGTAAAAACCCAGATTTCAAAATTTAAAAAAATTATAAAATCAACTAGCACAAACATATAGATATACATGAATACGAACCTTGCAAGGACGGCCTTTTATAACAATGTAACCGTTCTTACGTATGGTTCCAGCCTGCTGGGGAAAAGTCTTGGAAGCGCCGGCGTCGGCCTTCGACTCAAATTGATGTTCCTCGTCAGACATGGTCAAATTTCACAAGAAATGCTAGAGAGCGTAAAATTTGTACAGAAAGTGGGGAGAGATGAGAGTAGGTGGGCGGTGGTACGGCTGGGTGTTCATATATACATGATTGAGGAAGAAAGAGACTTTAGGGTTTTTTCTCTTCGAGGAAATTGATTTTGGACCGTTGGATTGTGACGTGAGCGGTTTACGGATGAGATTGAGATATCTTTTGGATTTTGCCTTTTTTGAGTTGGCTTTAAAACGACGCAGTGCTTTTTTCTTTTCATTATAGGGAAAATTGCGG